TTATATCTTATTAAAATTTCCAATCGTTCTGTAGATCATCCTGTGTATATATTAATGATGTCAAAGTCTTTTAGCAACTACCTTTTTTAACGAGTTAATTTTTCATGAACCTTATTTTTGTTCTTTAGTATTTGTCATAATTATACGTTTTCGATATTGTCATTAATTTGAGAATTCAATAAAATGTGATTAAATTAAAACAGAATCAAATTCATAATTATTGCTTAATATATGTAGATAAAAAATTAATAACTTATGTTTTGTTATTTGTTTATTTTTCTACCAGTTTATTTATCTTTATTTCTTATTCAAAGGCATTTATGATATTGAGCAATTTATGTATGTAGATTCGATTTAATACAAATATACGATCGATCATCTGCGGATGGAAAAAGAAAGTTCGCACAAATTAGAGATCAGCTACACAAATTTGAGTTAAATTTGATAACTTATTTCGAAATCTAGATTTGTTTTTAAATTAAAAATAAAATAATTTTTTTAGTTAATTTTGTATGTTTTATTAATCTAGTTTCTGCACTTAATTTGAAATGAAACCTTATATAATTGTCGCTTTAGGAGAAGGTAATTTGAAAACAAAGGATAAGATGAAGTGTGAACTATGAAATCGAATAGAAGCAATTAATATTACTAAAATAGTAATAGTGTTGAAATGAAATGTTTGATTTGTCAGGTAAAACAAAACTTTGGTGTATCTTATGTACACCAAGGCCGGTAGAGTGTACATAATGAAAGAAGTTTGTGATATATCAGTCATCGAATCTATTAGTTCGTTTATTATTTTGCTAGCATGTTTTAAAGATCCAATTATTGCATAAATAAGAAAGTCGAGAGGGATAGTCGTTAATTATTATTGCAAAACTTGACCGCGTAAAACTTGAATAAAATTCTAATGTTTTAAAGTTAATCTCAGTATCAGTGAAAGTAGTCGTCAGTTATAAAAGTTTTTCATGCATATTCTAATAGTATTGGTTCTTTGTTTGCATCTAAATATCTTATATCTAAAGTAAATCAATCATAATAAAGAATCATTAAGTTAATTTTTCTGCTGAACGTAACTTAAAAATAAGAGTGCGTTCCTAAGCGTATTAACAGTATCTAATGAAAATCCATAATTATAAATTTTCAATACCGTCAGTAAATTTCAAAATGCATTCAACAATAGAATATAAGGTTTTTAAATACTACATGACATAAGAAAGCATCGGCGGCACAGAAGGGCCCCGGTGCACGCCTGGGCTACGTTCCAAAATTCACTCTAGTTAACTAAAATGCTATAGTGTACGTGACGTAAACTATAGATTTTAGTTACTCAGAGTGAATTTTGGAACGCAACCCTGGGGGGCTCGAATCAGCCATCATTGCAGTGGCCACGTTCATTTGTTCATTTGCGTAATAGCTAGTTACCGACTGGATCGTGGCCAATGGTCATACCGCATCCTGCCGCAGTCTAGGGGAGCCGGGGCCATCTAAAAAGAAAAGAAAAGAAGAAGCGTAATAGCTTGTTACTTGATTTGACAAAAGTGGTATAAAAGAAATCAGTTGCCCTACATCTGTGATTGTAATCTGTACACGCATTAGTTCAATAATTTTATCATCTGGACGGCGTTGGAATATTACCGAAGCATGTCGTCTGCAGAGAAACGTAAAATCTCAAGTTCAACTGATCAAGATTCAGCGAGAAAGCAAATACGCATAATGAAAGAGAAGCAAGTAAGTTCTTAATAGTTTTTTTTCCTCTCAATTTCGATGAGTGCGTGCTATTGGAACGTAAAAAAGCGCATAAGATTTTGTATAAACGAATTAATGTGCATTCGTGACATTTTGCAAAGCGACAATTCATGCATTCTGCATAAAGAAAATTCATAAACATTCATACACGTGTATCAAATTTATTTTCCACTTGCATGTGTATAATTTGAATGCAATTCAATTAGAAGTTATTAATGCAAAAAATCTACTGCAGATGAGTTTACTATTTGTCAGAATTCAAGATAGAACTCTGTTTATATATGTAGTAATATGAAATGTGTTTTAAAATAGCGAAATGTATAGGTTATAACACTGTAAATAAAAGTTGTCCTTCAAATTTAACTTTTATAGGTCTTCTAATTGTAAGACTTAGACAAAAAAACAGTTATTAATAATTCTTGAAATTTGACACAAGATTATGACTAAACTTTCAAGTATTTATGAAGTCGGTCATGATCTATGAAAATATCCATTAAGTTGCCTTCTTGGCTATTTATTTTAACTTTTTTGTATGATTGTCTGACATTAAATGTTATTTTTATTAAAATTTACATATACTAAATACATGGATGTCTTAATAATTGCCATGTACTTTCAGTAAAATCAGATTTCAAAAAGTTATCTATACATGATGTAAGCATTATTACATGTTAGGACATTTGTTTGAAATTCTTAACTGTTTTATCAAAAGCATAGAGACTCTTGGAACATTTTAATGTTGATTATTTTCATTATTCTTAAGTAAATTAATTATTTCCAGACGTCTGACAGTGAAAAAGAAGTTAAGGATATCAGTACTGAGATTGTCCCAGAAAAGGAAAAGACAGTATCTTCACCATTCATCTCATCTTCGTACATCAAGAGCTGTTCTAAAACACAAATAAAGTCAACTATACTTGACCACACCTGGAGAATTGATCAATTTATACGTCTTTCTAGGATGATGAATACAATAAGGTCTTCATCGTTTCCAGAAACAGGTCAATACTGGATTCATGTAGATATTAAACGTCAAGTTGGTTCGACGATAGGTGTAGTAAGCTTTCACATACGTACTAGTGAAACACTTAACGGTTCATGTCTTACTAAAATAATGTTTTCTGAAACAGTTTTATTTTCAAGTAGCATTTTAGGTCGTATGTCGGATATGACATTGTTAATTAGATTCTCAACAGAGAAGCTGCAGGATTATACGAAAGATACGCTTGTAATAAATTTCAAGTTTGAAATTTTTCATGCACTGATAAATAAAGCTATACATATAAATATACCATCATCTACAACGGTATTGAATAGAGTGAAACCTCTTGAAAACTCCACCGTTGAATTTAAGTCTGAGAATGAGAAATCAGTGAAATTTATAGTAGGAGAAGAACAGTATGTTGTATCAAAAGAATTGTTGTACGCCAGCAACAGTAGCTACTTCAAAAATATCTGCCTTACATATGAGGGAAGGGAAAAAAATATGACAAGGGAATTGACGAATGATGAATTACTTAATTTTAAACAGATTTTGATATTTATTTTAACTGGCTCAATAGATCAGTGTGATTATGACATGCTTAAAAAATTGTTAAAAGCAGTTGATACGTATGATGTACCAAATTTAAAATTAATGTGTGAACGTTATTTGCTACGCCACATTACCATTAAAAATGCTTTGGAACTTAGGCAACTTGCGTCTTCGTGTAATGCAAAGTCTTTAGAAACGCATTCGGCAAAGTTTATTCAGTTTCATATAAAAGAAATTGTAAATGCTAAAAAAATCGAAAATTGATCACAATCAAGCTAAACATAAGAATTAATGTAGGTTATAACGAAAAACTCAGAGAATTAGAATTAATGTAGAAGGTAAAGGAAAATGTGAAACACACACATACTTGAAATCAGCACTTACCAATTGTTTTCATCACCACTTATGATGGATATTTACATTAGCTAATATCATTCTTTGATTCATAATATTACTGTCTTAAATATAAATTAATGAACCATGATAAAGATATTTTTTTTTGTTTAATTAGTAAATATTTTTTCTTCTTTTCTACAAACAAATATATAAGTTTTAATTTTTATATATGCCAGAATTTATATGCAAATAATTATGTGCATGTGCATTTTAATACAGGTTAAAAATAATTCGTGATTTGAGTTTAGATGTACGAATAAAATTATTATTAATTATTCTTAATGTAGTTTAGTTATAATTTTCTCAAGTTTACAGATTGATCTAAAACAAAAGGAATAAATAATAAATAAGAATCTTTACGAACTTATATTAACTGGAAATGTTTTATTTATTCTTCGCAATAGTACATCTTATTAGAAATTTTCAATCTTTTTTTTTTTTAGATTATCTTAATATTATAATATATTAATCAGAATAAGAATCTTATATAGTACGTGTTTCAGAATTTTAAGCAATTAATTGCTTTTTTCAGCGAAATAGCGAGTTATTTTCATTGAATTTAAAATTGATAATTATATGCAATCGATATTGTCATTAATTCAGGTTTAATAAAATGCGATTTAGTTGTAACAGAATCAAACTCATATTTCTTAATATATAGGAAAATAAATTTAATAAACTTACATTTCGTTATTTATTAATTCTTCTACCAGTTTATTTTTATTTACCAATTCTATCTACCAATTTATCTTTATTTCTAACTCAGAGACATATGTGATGTTGAGCAAACTATGTACAGAGATGTTAGATTTGATAGAAATATACAATTCGATCATCTAGAGATAAAAAAAAATGCTTTACAAAAGTTATAAATCGGCTACATAAATTTGAGTTGAATTTTATAACTCAATTTTAAAAATGTAGATTTTTTTGAATAAAAAAAACGATATGGCCTTTTTAGTTAATTGTATATCTCTTATTAATCTAGTTTCTATGCTTAATTCGAAATGAAACTATATAGTCGCTTTAGAAGGTCGTTCGAAAGTATAAGAGGTAAGGCAAGATGTGAACAGTGAAATTTCTGTAACTCGGTAAAAGAAATTTATTTCCAAACAATAATAATATTACGTACTGAAACGCAATGTGTTGAATCAGTCAGTTAACCCTCGGATGATTGCGTCCAAATTTGAAATACGAATAGTCGCGTGAGGTGTAAGTTACACCCCAGAATATTTTCCTCGTAAATGTTAATTAATGAAGAAAAAATTTTTACTTTTTTAATTTTATGAATTTTTAGACCTGTTTTTCTGAAGTATAAAACAAATTTCAATTTCAATAAAAAGATAGACTTTTCTCCAGCAACGGTAAAATTTTTTTCTTGTAATTGCAAAAATAAACTAGACGGCCGGGTGTAGCCTACACCCCGGGCGACCTTCCGAGGGTTAAACCGAGAATGTATAATGTATCCTACATAATGAAGGAAGTTCGTGATATATCGTTCATCGAATCTATTCGCTCGGTTATATTTTGCTAGCATATTTTAGCGATGCAATTAACAAATTATTATTGCATAAACGAGGAAGTCACAACTTATTAATTATTACAGTAAAACTTGACCGCATAAAACTATAATAAATTTCTAAGATTTTAGAGTTAATCTTATCAGAAAATAGTCGTGAGTTATAAGTTCTTCATGTAGAACTAGTTGTAGTTCCTCATTGCGTCTAATCATCTTAAGTTATACCTAAAGTAAATCTCAATTACATTAAAAGAATCAATGAGCTAATTTTTTTGTTGAACGTAGCTTATACTTATAAAGGATGCATTCCGAGGTGTATTAATAGTATTAAAAATCCATAATTTATATATTACGTTTGTTACAGATTTTCACTGCCGTCAATACATTTTGGAATACACTCGACAAAAGAATAAGGTTTCTAAACGCTATGTGGCAAAAGGAAGCATCAGTGGTCCAAAGATGACAGATTTGAATCGTGGCGTCCGCGGCTCAACCGTAAGACAGACGGAGGCAGCAAATATCCCAAGAAAGAGCCATACGTAAACATACATGTATCACACGTAAGTACGTGACTTTTTTTTAGGATACGCGCCCCCTCCATCTATCTTACGGGTGAGCCGGTGGTTCGGTGTTCGAATCTGGTATTTCACAGTGGCCGTGTTTATTTGTTCATTTGTATTGTTTCTTGCATCACATCTTGACATTCGCAGTAGCTTGGAAATTTGATTTGGTAAAAGGAAATAAAAGAAATCAGTTGCCACATCATGTTTATTAGTCTAATAAATTGCTTCTGGACGGTGTTGAACTATTACCGCAGCATGTTATTACACTGAGAAAAAAATGTTGTAAATTTGACTAAACTCGTTTAGTTGTATTGATTTGTTTAATGTAAATATTAATATATTTAAATCAAATATACGTGAGTAATATCAAGAAATTCTGAATCTATTTAAATATAATATTTTTTGAATTAACAAATGTTAGCTTAACAGCCTGTGACCGCTGCATTTAGTTGAATCAAATAATATTTCTTTGAATCTACGATTTTTTTTTCTCAGTGTACAGAAACTTAAGATGTACAGTTTAACTTTAAGTGATCAAGATTCACCGGAAAAGGAAATATGTGAAATGGAAGAGGAGGAAGTAAGTTCTTAACAGTTCTTTTCTCAACTTCGTTGACTATACGTGTTATTGTTATTGCCCGCAGGAGGATTTGATCGCATTTCCTTGGGGCCAACGCACTCACGGATCGACCCGAGTTCAACACACCGCGGACACTCAAATAAAGGTACATGATACATACACACATAGGCTGCGTTCGGGGAGCGCGCTATTAGCGCTATTTGCTTATTCTATCCTTGTTCTACACTTGATAAGCGATAAAGATAGAATGATGCAATAGCGCTAATAGCGTGCTCCCCGAACGTAGCCATAATTATACTGACCCGAGTTTGGAATTCATTCTCCCGACTTTGAATTGTCCATTTTCGACATTTTGTCCCTTCTCTATTGACCCTTCCGCATTCTTTCCTAAAAATCTCGGATACTTGCAACTCGTGCGTTCGCATAAAAGAATCACGGTGCGGCCTCGGTTCGCGTGTACTTGGCTCGAGACACTACCGTGTCTCTTGATATGAAAATATTATATATAACATCAAAATGCATCAGGTATGAAATTATAAATAAAAGTTTTTCCTTAAATAACAGGAATTATAGATCATGTAATTTCCATTTCTACCAATGCAGATTAACTTTAATCTCGGTTTAACTGACTTTTCATCTTTTTCTAATTCTTAAAACTAGAAAGGATAAAAAGTAAGTTAAAAGTTAATCCGCGTTAGTAGAAATGGATGTAAGACTTATAGGCAAGAAAGTAGTTGAATAATTATTCATGAAACTTGACCTAAAATGGCTATTTATTCAATTCTTTGAGTTATAATTGTCTGACAAAATGTTATTTTTATTTAAAGAAAGATATATTAAATATAAGGTTGTCCCAAAAATCTCTACATATTTGAAATTAAATCCGATTTCAAATGGCTCTTATCTATACATGATGTATACGTTATTGCACCATGTTAGGATATTTGTTTGAAATTTAATCTATTTTATTATAAAAGCATAAAGATTTTCTGGACATTTTTATGTTAATAATTTTTATCATTCATCAGTTAGTTAATTACTTCCAGATGGTGAAATCTAAAGAAGGAGCTGACAAGAAGATTATCCTGAAAAAGGAGCAGACAGTTTCTTCACCATTTTTACCTTCGTATACCAAGAGCTATTCTCAAACACGATTTGAAGTGACTACGTCTGACTATACATGGGAAATTGATCAATTTGGACGTCTCTC